ATTTTTTGCTTGCTCCTCATCTTTTGAATGCACTTATGAATTTCATTTAATCTGTGTGTCTGTTATTTAGAGCTCCGAATTTCCACAATATACAAAAAGTACATAAAATTTTAAAGTTGTGGCTGCGTTCACTGTTTTCCTGGCATATGTTAGATTTTCTATCTTTTTCACTCACGTATATTAACTTTGAGCTCCCCAGTTAACGTCAATCGTAGCCACAGGGACAGATAGCAAACTGTAATTTGTGTGTGTGTGTGTGTGTGTGAGGTAATTGATTAAAATATTTAAATTGATATTTTCATCAACACTTTCCTCAGCGAGTTTTCTTTAATTTCGCCGTCGTAATACTCTTTTTTAGAACCTTTTTGGGTTCAGCTTGGCTGGAGCGCTTTGAGCTCTTGCCTTGCAGGCCGCGCTTTTTTGTGGGCGCCTTGATGGGGGGCTTCTTAACGAATTTGGCTGGCTTTGTTTTCTTTGCTTTGGCAGCTTCATGCATTGCCTTGGCCTTCATGTCATAGCTGTGCATTTGGGCCGGCGACAGTTTCTCCCAGAATTGATGGGCCAGAAAGGCGAGTTTCTCGTTGGCCAGCCATGTGACAAAGTCCTTGTAGAACATATCAAATGGCAAATAGATCTTCTGCTCCATTTTGTTAACAGGCATCAGATCGGAGTTCTGTCTGTACTGCCATCGGCTGAAGTCATCAAAAAGCAGCTGCACCGGCATATCCCAGGGCATACGAGAGATAAATAACCATAAAACGAAAAATTTGATTCTTACGAACTAAATGCTGTGCTACAGCCAAGAGTTTCGAACAGGCTTTGAGCTAGAGCTGACAGGAAAAGGCCTAAAAATAACTTCCATTGATACTTTCCACAGAGCCTGCCTCAATAGCAAAGAGTTAACAGCCAAAAGCAACAGGCCAAAAGCCTTTCAATTTGTTTCAACTTTGCCGCCTTTTGGCTTTTTGTCTTTTGTCAAGTGCCTTTCAAACTGTCTGCCGCATTTGGCATTTGGCTTAAAGCCACAGCCAGAGCCCAAACAATGAGCCAAACTCGAACCATTTTTGTTGCTTTTTGTTGTTATTTGCTGTTGCATGTTGCATGCGTCGCCGCACTGCGCAGCGACAATGGCAGCAACGCCTTTTGTTGCACAGTAGTCGTCAATTGTATGCGAACGGCTTGCGCCTACTTTAGTTTGAGCAATGTTAATGACAATACATAATGAATGCAGCTGCCATTTAAGGAACAGACCAGAGCTGAACCAAAAATGAACTATGCAAATTTAGATTAAGTCGGCAAATGCCAAAAT